TTTTTAAATATTATAATTAAAAAATATTTAAAAAATCATAAAATAATTGGGGGGGACCTTCTAGTGAGGGGACCTACCAGATGTTCCCCGCTCAGGCTAGGCCCATTCTCTAGCCCATTTTCAATTTTAAGGAGAGTACATTCATATACTGATGAGAAAAATTTGCAATTGAATTAGGATCAGAACAAAGCTTTTTCTGAACTGAGAGGATTATCCTCACAGGAGTATACTTATTGTTCCTTTCCAATTTTGTTAATAATTTTTTGTGGGCATTTGTTTTGTTTATTTATATTTCAGTTGGAAGAAATACAGAATTCTGCACAGCCAACAATAGTCATACAAAGCTTAAAAATAAAACTAGGACAATAATATACTTTAATGCTAACATCACATTGTATTTTCTGACTTCTGATTTTAATCTCGTAAACAGTCTCCAAAATTTTAGTGTTTTCTGATGGGTTCCAATATTTTTGTACATGTTTAATGAGTTAGCAAGTCAATTTTGAAGCCTCTGAGATCCCCAAAATCTTTGAACTTTCTGTTGCACTAATGATATTGCAATAGAGAGATAAAGAGGACACCATGAAGCAGGACTGGAAAAAATAAGGGCTTACAATTTTGCTAAGTTTTACCTTTTTTTACTTTCTTGAAATCTTACAAATGTTTACTATAATGTGTTTACATTCAGATTTTGCTTTTATCTCTTGTTTAAATTTGTAATATGAATATTTTTCTATTCAAAGGCTGGCGGATATATTCCAGTTCGTGCCAACTGAATGTTCTTTTTCTCACTAGTTTTGTATCAAATGATGAAAATGTAAAGTTAATAATATGGAAACAGATTTAAAAATGCATGAATACATATTTATGATATTCCACCTGTGAACATTTGACCTAAGTTGACATTGTCTGTCTTAGGCAATGCTTTTGAAGCACGGCACATTAATGTTATACAGCTACCTGAAACTGTAAGGAGTCCAGAGAGAAGTAGGTGTCTCCATGACATATTTAGAACAAAATATTGTTTTTATCCTGTTGCAGGAAGACCTTCCACTAGTTGCATCCGTGCTTGACATCAGCTAAGCCACCCATTGTTGTAATCCAATGTATACTGAGTTGGCATCACAGTATTCAGCATAAGAAATGGCCCCTTTTTCTCATAATCACATGATCGAATCTGGTAAGCTTTAACTTTTTATGTAATGTTGACAAAAAAAATATTAATACATTATGGTAGATTCATATGAGGTAAGTTTATTTTTTATCTGTTTCTATTGGGGTGTTACTTATCATGTTGTTACTGTCTCTATGCTACTGAGCAGCGGGCCTTTGCGGTCGGTCGCTGCGCTTCGGATCGGGCTGCCTGGCCGAGCTGACCACGCCTCCAAATGCAAGTTTTGCCCGACGACGACGCCACCAGCCCGCCTCATCTTGACGTGGGTCTCGAAGAGTGCACCGTTTGACCCACGGCACAAGGGTTTGCACCGGTTTGCACGTTTGACCCACGGCAAAGGGTTTGCTGACTCCACAGCTTGAACGGAACTGCTCCGCTAAACACTTCCACAATGAGGGTGTCCCCATCCCTACCACCACCGCCGGCCCTCGGGAAAATACCAGGTGGCTGATTAACCCCACACACTTTTTTGTACTATGCAACCCGCCCGCACGGCTCCATCCGGGACTGTATACCCACCAGGAGCTGGGGACCGGCTCCAAGCGCCAGCGCCAGCGCGACGCTCCGCCAATGTTGTTGCAGCCACCGCCCTGGGGCGTTACAAAGGGGTTGTTCGTGGTTTCGCGAGGGTTCCCGCGAGTCCCCGGGGGTAAGTCGCGATACCGAGGGGGTAAATCGCGGGTCCGCGGGAGTGACTTGCGGGTGCGCGGGGGTAGCTTGCGGGTCCGCGAGGGTAGCTCGCGGGTCCACGGGGGTAGCTGACGGCAACCGCGGACCGCGAGAAACCCTCGCGGCAGGATCCGCGGACCGCGAGCTTTGCCCGCGGACCCCGCGTGCTACCCTCGCGGACCCGCGAGTCACCCCCGCGGACCCACGGGAAATCCCCGGGAAACCGCGAACAACCCCTTTGTAACGCCCCAGGGCGGTGGCTGCAACAACAGTGGCGGAGCGACGCGCTGGCGCTTGGAGCTGGTCCCCAGCGCCTGGGGGGTATGCAGTCCCGGATAGAGCCGTGCGGGCGGTTTGCATGGTACAAAAGTGTGCGGGGTTAATCAGCCACCTGGTATAGTCGTCCCAGCATTACTTTGGTCTTTGGGTCCCATAGCCTTGTATGGGGCCCGAAGACCAAAGTAATGCTAGGACGACTACATACTTTGTTTTAATTTTTTTAAAATAAAAGGTTATCAATATTTTTTGTACAAATTTTAGAAAATTTACAGTGGGGTAAATTATGGCACCAGAAAACTACCAAAAGTTCTAAAACACCCCTGTCGTGAAAAGTGACTTTAGATGGCCATCAAAGTTTGGTGCCAGAGAGAAAATCATTCAAGCTTATTAAAAGAGACTGTACAATAGAACAAAATAACTAGAGCAGCTGTAATCACTGTGACGCCAACTCAACTTATATCTGATGATTCCATGGGCCACACGCCTGATGTCCAGGAGGGGACAGGTACACCCCCAACGCCCGATCTTCCTGCAAGAAACCAAAAAAGGAAATTTTAGTCAAAGAAGCAGGATGTAAAAGACTCAGGAACCACGCAATTTCGACAGAGGAGGTCAAAGGCGACTCTCCCAGACCTATCCCAACCATTTCCAGCAATTTTCATTTTTTACTCGTTCTTTACCATCCCACTTCACCTTCGTGGTGGTAGGAAGAACGAG